GAGGACCAGTGGCATATGTACAAATGACTGTGAAGGCACATACGTGCTACTCTGCAAGCCTGGGAGTAGTGTACACTTTTAGACATGCCTGCGTGTGTGACTGCACAGGTGTCTAGGACTACCTTGTAGTGTGTAGAACCTTGTAGGCCAGTGAGCACTTCCCATAAGTATAACAGTGTGTCCGAGACTTGTGACAGTATGCGAGTGATTGTAACTGTGCAGGGGTGGCTGTGGGTCACTTAATCCTTTGAGAAGCTGAGTATGTATGCATGACTAGTGGCCCATGCAGTTTCATCTATGTGAAACTCATTGTGCTAGTAGTATGTGACCATCTCCTCTGTGTGTGGCACTTGCATTGTCACATGTCTGTGATCAAAATATGCCTCCTTTTGGTACTCTATAGAAAATGCTGTATCATGTATGTGTCCTGTGTTTGACCCTGGGCTGCATATATAAGGCCGTATATGAGGCATCTCTCCATTGCTCATGTCACCATCACTTGACATCTGAGTCTCCGTGTCTCCTTTCTCATGGTTCTGTTGTGGCCCCTCCTGTTCATTTCTAGTGAATCCATGCCTCTGTGTGGTGTGTCCACACTCTGGTGGTCTATGCATGTCCATTTACCCTAGCTCTGAGTCTCTGCTCCTTGTTTCCTCATCTTCTGCTCTTTATTTTCAGGTCCCCAGGGTTATCTCTCCCAGTTTCCAAGTCCCCATCTCTGACTTTCGTCTCTTTGTCTCCATCACTTCCTGCCTCCCAGAGCCTCCCCTCATGCTCACATGTCTCCTTTTTCCTTGCCTTAGTTTAACCCAGAACTGGTGCTGGTCTCAGCTGGCTTTGATGCTGCACGAGGGGACCCATTAGGGGGCTGCCAGGTGTCACCTGAAGGTTATGCCCACCTCACCCACCTGTTGATGGGCCTTGCGAATGGTCGAATTATCCTTGTCCTAGAGGTAACTGTCTTTGGCCCTCTTCCTGTGGTGGGGGCAAGCAGTTTGGAAGAGTTGGCTACATTACTCAGGGTAATTTCCTAAAACTTCCTTCAAATGTTCCCACTTGGGATTGTGGGCACATCCTGGGCATTAATAATGACACTAAGAGCATTAGCCTCTTTAATTGAGCACTGACTATATGTACGGCACTCTTCTCTGCACTTTATATATGTATTTCTAATGTTTACTTGACAAAGAAGCATGAGGAGGTAGGATATGCTTCCTGGTCATGTTCTTCTTCCAAGATCAGGTCAGTTTGGGGCCAGAGATTTAGCTCAGTGGCATAAGTGCCTGACTGGCAAGTGCAAGGTCATGAGTTAAATCCCTAGTACCAAAAAAAAAAAAAAAAAAAAAAAAAAAAAGATCAGGGCAACTAGCTGGCTGTAGTGGCACATGCCTGTAGCCCTAGTACTTGAGAGGCTGAGGCAGGAGGATCACTATGCGTCTGAGGCCAGCCTGGGCTACAGAATGATTTCAAGGTTCAAGGACAGTCTGAACTTCATAGCGAAACCCTGTATCAAAAGACCAAAAAAATTCAGGGCAACTGAGGTACAGAAAGGGGTAAGGACCACCCTGAAGTTGCACATTTAATAATAGCAGAGGCAAGGCTTGAATGCAGGCAAGCGTTCTAGCTTGTTCTATGGATTTGGCTTTTTAATACTACCCGAACTGCCTCTAACAAGTTCTAGGAAAAAGTACATTCGTGGACCTTTTGTACATGACTCAGTACCTCTATCCTTGTGTAGAGATAAGTTTCCTTATCTGTAAGATGGGGCTGGGTAATCATAGCAGAGTGCCTGGCATACTATTAGCACTGCATATGCTGCCTCTTCTTACTGCTATGTGTTGTTCAGATATTAACCCTCTCGGCAAACTTCTGTGCTGCTCTTTTATGGTTGAGGATGGTTAGGTCACTGGGAAATTAACTGGTTTACAAAAGTCTCACTTAAAGTGTGCCTAGGACTGCTTATGGCAGGGTAGGGAGTGGTTAAGAACGTGGGCTGTTTTGTCAGTTGACCCAGGTTTAAACCCTGCTGCTGCCTCTTCAGCTTTTGTGACCTCAGACAAGTCATCTGATCACTCTGAGCCTTACATATAAAAAGATTAGGTACTGGAGTTCCAACAGAATATGAAAAAGTTCAAGATAGGGGATGGTGTAGAGAGAAAGGACCACTTATCCTTATTTTAGTATATGTGCTGCCAAAGTGAGCACAAGACCAGTTGTGCTCACCTATATCTGTACTTGGACAGGGCAGGGCCTTCTGTGTGGGTTCACAGCAGGCTCTTGTGCAGGTCAGGGTGGTGGTTCATAAGCTGTGAGGGATTCCTGCAAAGTGTGAAGTCATTTCTGGATAGCATGAAGGCAGTTCCCTGTGCAAATTGAGCACCTGTGGTCATGAGAGCTAAGTGTGTTAGTATGCATGAAATATATAAAATAGGATCTGGCACATAGCAAGCATATAATACATGTGCACTATTATTAATGTTCTTGTCAGTGTTGTTATCTTGCACTTGACAACACAAACAGTTTACCTTACCAGCACACAGTAAATGCTGCCCATCTTACAAAAGTGGGTTCCACACATTTGTTCCTAATACCACCCTCCACTCAGACTTAGAAGGCCCTAGAATAGGGAGGAAGGACAATTAGGCAGAACATCTAACCTTCCCGATTCCCTGATGAACCCCCACTCCACCTTTCCCTCCCCTTTTCCTTACCAAAGGGTGGCTACAATCTGACATCCATCTCAGAATCCATGGCTGCCTGTACTCATGCACTTCTTGGAGACCTGCCACCTCAGCTGCCTCTGCTGCGGCCTCCACAGTCTGGGGCCCTGGCCTCCATCACTGAGACCATCCAAGTCCATCACAGATACTGGCGCAGCCTACGGGTCACAAGTGAGTGTGTGGGGGGATGACAAAGGGTGATGAGGGGACTATGGAAAGTCGGGCAGGGGCAGGGATTAGAGTCCAAAAGGAGGACAAGATCCACACTCAAGGATCTTGCTCCATGGTTCCAGAGGTAGAAGACAAGGAAGGACTCTCCAGTTCTAAGTCAGTCACCAAGAAGGTGCCCCAGCAAGCCAATCCTGGGTTGGCTAAAGGGATGACCATGCCAAAAGAGAAAGTTCTAGAAGTGGACATGAGGAAGGCAACCTCAGCATTACCTGCAGAAGAGTCCACAGACCAGACTAAACCAGAGGCAGCTAATGTGACGCTCACTCCAGACCAGTCCTCAGAGACAGCCACCAGGAGAGCCGCCCTGGACAAGGCCCCCTCAGAGGAGACTGTGGAAGAAGCCCCAGTGCACCAGGCCACCTCCGAGGCAGCTACAGGGGCAGTAGTGATGCACCCGACTACTTCAGAGGAGGCTGAGGGAGGAGCTGAGCTGATCCAGACTCCTCAAGCCTCATATACAGAAAATCAGTTCCCAGCAGCCTCACCTGTGCTGGGAGCCACAGCTCTGCTGTCCCCCAGTCAGCTGACTGGGGATCCTGGGACCTTGGAACTAGGCGGGGAAGCTCTGGTAAGGCCCACTGCACCCAGGGAAAGGGAAGAAGGGCAAGAATGGGACTTCTCAGATGCATCTTTTCCTGTGTGTCCAGGAGACCCTGGAACCTCAGGCCCTAGAAGAGGAGAGCCTACTAGGAGAGGCAGCTGGAGGTCAGGATGTGGCTGACTTGAAGCTGACACAGAGATTTCAGGACCTTGCTGAAATTAACCAGGTAAGCTCAGGGAAAGGCTGGGCTTATGGTATCTTCTCTTGTTCATTTGTGCCTCCTCACAGGAACATGCAGTGTAGAAACTTTTAAGAGCTGGGGACCTCAGCTTACTCAGTTTCACCCACCCTAGGGCATATTATATGCTGTGACACCACTGCCCTGGTGTCCCCATTTGGTGGCAGTACGTCCCATCCCTGCAGCAAGTCTGGATGTGACCCAACCTTGTGAGGACTGTGGAACATGCCAGGAGAACTGGGTGTGTCTGTCCTGCTATCAGGTACATAGCAGAGGAAGAAAACGGGATGGGAGTATGTGGCCTAGGAGCAAACTGCAGATGGGTACGGAGCCCTGCCTGACATTTAGTCCCCAACCTCAGGTCTACTGCAGTCGTTACATCAACGCTCATATGGTCCGACACCATGAAGCCTCTGGGCACCCGCTGGTCCTCAGCTACGTCGACCTGTCTACCTGGTGTTACCCCTGTCAGGCCTATGTCCACCACCAGGTGGGCCCTGGGCAGACTCATCCTTACCCACACACATGCATACCCTTCTATCCCTGGGGGAAAGGAACCCAAAAGCCTCTGGCAGTTTCCCAGAGATTAGTGCTGTCTGGGGCATTTGGGGCTGGCCAGGAGGTGGGGTGGTTGAGGGCTGGAGTGGGGGTAGCCTCCTGGCTGTGGTAGAGCGGTCCTCACTTCTCTCACCCTGCCCTATTCTTGCCTGTTCCTCAGGATCTCCTAGATGTGAAGAATATCACCCACCAGAAGAAGTTCGGGGAGGACATGCCCCACCCACACTAAGTGTCAGAAGGTCCTCTCTGTTCTCCACCTTCCACCCCAGACAGACCAGCCTTATTTCCTATCATCTATACCTTGGATGAGGGTAGCTTCTGCCCCATCATGAATATCCTTTGCCAGTGGCCCAAGGGTGCTTGTTAAAGTGTAAATACATTTTAAGAGGACTGTGATCATCAATTGTGAATCTACCCCTGTCAACTGCCAGTTCAAGGGACACCACTACTACTTCCCCACAGGAAAGAGGGGCAGCTTGGTGTCCCCAAGAGAGGGCTAAAATCAAAAGGACAACATGGGGAGGGCAGTTACAACTGGCAGTTATGGCAGGGTTGCATATTTAATAAACTTCAAGTTGTTTCAAAACCTGGAGAAAGCCTTTTAACTTTTGAGAATACTGAGACCCCTCCACATCCCTTATCTAGCAGGACTGATAAATAATAAAGGAATGAGGGGTCTTCAACAGATCAGTCTTCTATCCATCCATTGCCCAAAAAAATCTTAACTGAAAATAGAACAAGTGGCTTGACTGGCTCCATTGGAGATTTAATAGTAGAATCTATGAGAAAATGAGTCTCTGCCTTAGAAACAGGTGTCACAGCCAGTTACAGCCACAGCCAAGGCCAAGAATACAAGGGAAACTATCTGGAAGTATCCTCCACATGCCCCAGTTTCCCCATCTGTCTGGTTGACCTAATTGGTAGGGTGGGTTCAAACTTCACCTGGATTTGGGGGTTGTGGGTAGAGATCCTGGTCCAGAGGTAGGAAATTGGAGCACAATTTTGGAGTTTTAGTTCTCTCACATAAGAATTGCTTTTGCTGAGGTTTCGGAACTTTATTGCCACTTTAAGATCCCAAGATGACCACCAGAGACCCACCTAATCAGAAAGGAAAGGTCAAATGAGGGGAAGGGCAAGAAGGCTTGGGCCAGCCCAGTTGCACTAACATTGTAGATGGCTCACCTCCAAACCTCTACTAATTAACTCGGATCAGAACTGTGTCCCTGTGCTTAGCTAGCTGCAAGAGAGTCTGGGAAATTTGTAATTTGAATTATCCATCTCTGATCCGTTATTTTGGCCCTGACAGAGTCAGCCCCTCCCGTGAAGTTCTTTCCCTCTGGACAGACCCAAACCCCACCAAACCTACCAACAGCTGAGTTTAAACTGTCACAAGCTCCTCGCGCCCCAAACACCCACCAAAACAGTTCAAATGGTTCAGCCAGGTCAAACTTGACCATTCTGAGCACAGGCAAGAGAGAGGCGCAGCAAGACTCAGCCAGAGCGCCCCTCGCGCGCATGTCGCAGGTGGTTGCAGCACCACCTGGGCCGCGCGCGACCGTTGGGGTGGGCGGGAGGGGGCGCGAAGGCAGACTGCGCATGCCTACTGCCCCCTACCCGCCACCTGGTGGGGAGCTGCTTTAGCCCGGGTTGCTCCTGTCAGAGCTGCCCGCTGTGTCCCACCACACAGCTCCCGGGACTCAGGTGAGCGGACCGACCGCCCGGATCCCAGCCGCATTTGGGCCTGAAGGTCTCCTCGCTGGAGTCGAGGGTACCCTTCCCCGCCACCATTCATTCTAGGGGAGCGAGCCTTACATTCACCGTGCGGGGTCGGGTGCCTGTGCTTTGCGGGAAGCGGGGGCTGATTCCCAGGATGGCGCCCGAAACTAGACCGGAGCACCACTATGCGGTCTGGAGGTGCGCTCAAGGATGCGGCCCTGGGGTCAACCCTGCTTACCTCCATCCCCTCATCTCCCCTGCCTCGGACAAAACAAAGCGCAGGACCGCGCTGGTTGCCCGAGCCTGAAGGGGGCCCACGCCCTTCCTTTCTTCCTCACTTTTGTGGCGCGGCTGGGAGGCTGCCGACTGGGCCAGGCAGCGTCAAGTGGGCACTCGCAGGGTCTCAAGGACCCTTTGGGGACACTGCAGTAGCACCTGACACAGCGAGGGCTCTGTGCTCAGAACAAGGCTGGGACCCCAATTCTGTGTTGGGGCCTTGTGATGTAGTCCAGTCTGTCACTCTGCTTCTCTGAGCGCCCTGTTCCTCATGGGATATGGGAGTCCTGGTGACCATAACCTAGGCCCCACCCCTAGGGTGTCCCAGCTGGGGCTCAGCCTGCGTGTACCACACTCTCAGAAGATGCTATCTGGGCACCTGTGGTCATTACCAGCACTTGGCCAAGGGGAGAGCCTCTCTTATATTTCCCTGCCTCTGATGATGGCACCCCAAATTTTCAGTTGATCCAGCCCCAACTTGCCTTCCCCCTCTTCCACCTATTCACCTCTAGAGACAGCCCACCAGTTTCAGAATCTACCAGAACCTTGCCTGTCCTTTCCATCTGCCCCACTGCCACCATCTTCAACGGTGATCTCTCTTTCCTGGTCTCCCCTCAAGTCTATCTTCACAGCCACATCTTCCTCTCTCTTCCCCAAAGGATGGGTGCCTCCAAAGCTATTTTCTCCTCTCTTCATCCTGCCCCCATTTTTGGGCAGAGACTTGCAGTGAACATTTTCAGGAATCCCTCCATCTCACCCTGATCTGCACAACCCAAACTCATCTGGAACCCTGGATCTGCCCCCAGACTACCATTGCTCCTTGGTTTCTAGACTATGGTAATGGTGCACTCAATGAAGGCAACTCCCAAACCAGACGGGGAGGCACATTTAATGAGTTAATGGTGATTTGCTTTTTTTGTAGTTTTTTTTTTTTTTTATCTCTTTGAGACAGGATTTCACTATGCAGTTCAGGCTGGCCTTGAACTCACTTTGTAGCCCAGACTGGCCTCAAACTCACATCAATCCTCCAGCCTCAGCCTCCTAAGTGCTAGAATTGCAGGCCAATTTGCTATTAATAGCTAATACAAATTGAGCACCTGCTGTGTGCCAATCCTCTTTAACATGCAAGTTAATTTCCTTATTGTGTTTATTGTCTCACACTGCTAGAATCTAAAGCTCTCAAGGCCAGATGAATCTGTTTTGTTCAGTGCTGTATCACAAAGTCTGGCATACAGGAAATGCTTGAATTAATTAAGGAAGATTGAATAATAGTAAAAATGCTTAACATGGGGCTGGGGATTTAGCTCAGCGGCATAAGCGCCTGCCTTGCAAGCAGGCAGTCGTGAGTTCCATCCCTGGTACCGATAAAAACGAAAAAGACAAAAAAAAAAATGCTTAACATTAGCTGAGCACCTCCTACTGAAATATATTTTACATATTTATCTTGTTACCTATTGCCAGACAATATGGAATTATAGACAATAATGTAGAATATAACATTCATAGGGGTCAGGGGTCATCTATTTTTTTTTAATTTCTATGTCCTTGCCACACAGGAGGTTTTCAGTAAATATATTTTGAATAGTTAATAAGACTAAATTCTAATGAAAATAGTTAATAGACTATATAATTAACCTAATTTGTTTGGTTTATTTATCTCTTCAGATACTAATATTCTTTTAGAACACAAACCCTGGGACCGAACTGGCCACCTGGAGGCTGTGTTTCAATGTCCACTAAAATAAACAAAATCCTGCCCTCCCTCTGCAAACTTCACAGTACTTCATAAATATGCTAAAATTCATTTAATTGCACATTTTAACTGGGTGAACTGGTGGTGCATGTTTGTAATCCCAGTATTTAGGAGGCTGAGGCAAGATGATCCTTGACAGTTCAAGGCCAGTCTGAACTTTATGGAATAAAAATTATATTTTAGTAAAGTGGCCTGAAAAATACTGCCTTGGGGTTGAGGGGATAGCTGAGTGGTAGGCAACCCTATTGCCTGGTCCTGGGATTCTCAGTAAAAAAAGAAAAATCTCCCCTTCACAAAGTTGATATGAGGCGGGGAGAGCAACATGAATAATGCATGCTGTGTACTTGTCCTTTTAGAAGGATATTAGGTGGTGATTAGCATACCATAAGTGCTCTACAAAGGTTAATTCAATGCTACTCACCTGTCCTTTTAGCCCCGGGTTTGCCCTGACCTCTCTTCACTGTTGTCTTTCTTCCATCTTCACTAGCAGACCTTGCTGTTTATCTCTTTCCTGAATTGCCTTTTGGGGCATGGAGCTGCCACTGCCACCAACTGATGTCACCATGAGCCCGGGCACCTGGAACCCCAGCTCCCAGGAGAGACCTGAGGCTTCAGTGCACAGCAAGGATACTGCCAAGAAGTTGCCTGAGTACAAGACAGTGGTGGTTGGCGCTAGTGGTGTGGGCAAGAGTGCGTTGACCATCCAGATGACCCACCAGTGCTTCGTGGAGGACCATGACCCCACCATCCAGGATTCCTACTGGAAGGAGGTAGCCCTGGACAATAGAGGCTACATTCTGAATGTGCTGGATACAGCGGGGCAAGATATCCACAGGGCCCTGCGGAACCAGTGCCTGGCAGCTGGGGATGGCATACTGGGTGTCTTTGCTCTTGATGACCCTTCGACTCTGGACCAGCTGCAACAGATGCGGGCCAGCTGGGGCCCTTGCCACACCCAACCCCTCATCCTAGTGGGCAACAAGTGTGACTTGGTGACTGCTGCTGGAGATGTGCATGCCACTGCTGCAGCTCTCGCCCAAAGATGGGGGGTCCCCTTTGTGAAGACCTCAGCCAAGACACGGCAAGGTGTGGAGGAAGCCTTTGCCCTGCTCATCCATGAGATCCAAAGGGCCCAAGCAGCCATGGCAGAGGCAGGGGAAGAGAGGGCCCAGCACAAGAAGGCTATGTGTAGTTGTGGCTGCTCTGTGGCCTGAAGATCTTGGTCAGGAAAAGCAGCTGCTCTCCCAGGCTAGGGTGGAGTTCACTTGATGAAGATACCTCAGAAGCTACTAATAACATGGACACATCACTGGTGATTGGGGATGGATGGACAGTTTTCTTTCTTGCAATTGGTGAGGAGTTTTTGGTGATATGGGGTTGTCTGGAGTTTGCTGTGTCATGCCAATTTAAGAGATTCTGTACAAGATTAAGTAAATGATGTTTCCCGTTTCCAAGCTGCCTCTGTACCAAGTGTTATGTGGGTGGGAGCAAGACTGGGTGGAATGTTACTTGAAATATGATAAATGTTTCATTCAAGAAATATGGGGGAGCCCTCCATATGCCAGGCCCTGCTTTGGGTACACAAAGGATGTGGAGGTAAATTCTTGCACAGCATGCATTATTCATGTTGCTCTCCCCGCCTCAGATCAACTTTGTGAAGGGGAGATTTTTTTCTTTTACTGAGAATCCCAGGACCTTTTTTGACAGAAGGTTAGGAAGTGATGGAGACTGACAATAAGGTAAGTAAAGGAAAACAATGTCAGAGTGGTCATGGAATTCTTACGAGTAGGTGCTAAAACCTTGCTGATACCAGGAGCAGAGGGAATAATCAGTGTAAAGCAAAGGTCAAGACCCCAAACCAGCCACTGGCCCCCTGGCAACCTTTATCTTCAGGAAAAGGAACCCCTGGAAGATGCTAATGGGCCCTGAAACAGACCTCAGGCCCAGAAGGGAGGGGCTGCCATTGTCCCTGTGGATGGCTGCACTTGTGAGTCAGGTGCCTGTGAGGAAAGGCATGGGCTGAACAGCGGGTGTAGCTAAGTGCAAGACCTACGGCCCCTCTACCCCAAGAGCAGCTACCACCCCCAGCCCACCAGTCCCTTAGCTGACTGCGGCTCACAAAGACAAACAGAGCTGTTTCAGATATTGTTATTGTAAGGCTAGGGGGTGGGGGTTTGGCGGGTTGAGGGGTAAGCAGCTCTCAACGTGCTGGCAGGGGTGTTCAGGTGGCTAGCTGGCCTGCTCCTGGGTTCTGGGGCACGCTGGATGCAGGCGGTGCTCAGGGTGGCAGGAGACGGCGCGCTGGCGCCGGGGGCGGGGGGTTCTCTAGGCGTTTCACGCGAAGCAGTGCCCCAAGAACACCTTCAGGGGGAACGTCAGGAGCCAGATCCTGGTTGGCAGAGCGGCGAAGGCGGCGCGGGGTGGTCCCAGCTTCCGGCTCCGCACTTCCCGTGAGGATTCGCCCCAGCAAATACCTGCGGAACAGAGCAAAATGCAGTGAGGGTGTGGCTGCAGGTGGCCCCTGCAGACCAGGAAGCTAAACAGCACACCTTGCAACCCATAGTTTCTGGCCCTTCCCCACCCGTGTCCCTGGCCCACTGCTCTCAAGAAGCGAAAGTTCTCTCTCCACGCCCATGCCAGAAATGGTAGCATCCTGGCCTCCCCTTCCAGGCAGAAACCAGGCACCTGGGCCTCCCTCCCCAGGGCCAGGAGGCCATGTCCTGCACTGCTCCTCTAGTGCCTCACACCTTTCCTCTCGGGATCTGACTCCTAGCTAGGTCCCAAGACCGTCGCCCTTCCCTAGGACTTAAGTGTTCTCGTCACCACTGGATGATGTAGTTCCCCTCGCCGCCCTCCCGAGGTGCAGTGTCAGTCCCCTCCCTGCACCTCAGTAGCTCTGGGTCCACGTCAGGCGTCTCGTCACCAGTTTCCTCGGCATCTGAGCCCGTGGGGCCGTCGTCATAGACTGGGGGCCGGGGTCGGTGCGCAGCGGCCGGCACGGGAGCGGGGACAAGCTGGGCTGCAAGGGCGGCGGGGTCGAGGCGGGCGCGAAGCAGAGCTCGGGCAAGCTGTGCGGCTGGTGCATCGGGGTCATCGTCCAGACCGAGGGGCGCGTCGGAGGCGCGGGGAGAACCCCAGACGCGCAGCAGCTGTGCCAGGACACGTGCCTGCTGATCCTCGGCCTCCTGCGCCTCGGCCCGCGCACGCTCCTGCCGCTCAGCCTCCAGCAGGTGCGCCAGCGCCCGCGCCAGCTCCTGCACCGCACCCGCCGCCGCCTCTCCTCGGGGCGCCGCCCGGCGGAAGCGGCGCTGAGATCCAGCCTCGGCAATGGCTGGCGATGCTGCGCTTAGGCTGCGGGGGTCCTATGGGAAGATAACGTGGGAGGGAAGATAAGTGTATCATCACATTAGGACAGGCCCAGGACCTCTGACTTGGGGACTCCACAAACCTCAAATAACCAAAGCCACCATGCCCCCCATAACGAATATTTCTAGGGCCACAGGAGACCCCAAATATCTCCAGATACATGTAAGACCCCCGATAGACTCTTAGACCCATCTCCAGCAATCTCCAGTAATGCTTTAATACTCAGAACTTGCCCTTAAGACCAGTGGGGACCAGATTTGAAATGAAAACTCCAAAGAAAGAAAAAAGAAATGAAAACTCTCATACTTTGCTGATAGACATTAAATTATCAAAATAATTTTTAAGAACAACTTGGTAATGTCCAAAAAGAAATACATACCCTATGCCCCACTGCCGAGGTGTTACACCCCAGAACAGCTTTGACACATATACTACTGGACATCAGTTTGTGAAAGATGACAGTAGCAGTTTGTAATAGCATAAAGAGTGTGGGGCTAGGGATAGCATAAAAGTGGGGAGAGGAATAAAGGCCTGAAACAACTCAGTATTCACTGACATATTAAGAATGAATATATAAACTGGATGTGGTGGTACATGCGTGTAACCACCGCACTCTGGAAGGCTGGGGCAGGAAAACTATTGGAGCCCAGTCTGGGCAATCTGACAAGACCTTGTCTCAAAATAAAAAAAAAAAAAAAACAAGGGCTGGGGATGTAGCTCAGTGAAAAGGCAGTGGTAACACAAAGGTCCTGGCTCAATCCCTAGTAATACAAAAATAAATCAATTGTGCTATTCTCATAGAACACAATATTATGAAGCAAGAATTTAAATGCATTATAGCCAAACACTTTAATATGAATGAATCTCACCACCAGTGTAGAACCAATAAAAGAAGTTTGGATAAGGGGTGTAACTCTGGCAGGGCGCTTGAACCAGGCCCTGGGTTCAAGTCACAAGACCACACACACACACACACACACACACACACACACACAAAAGGCAAGTTCCAGAATCCCACTGCAGACTGAGATGACTCGACACACAAGGACTTCCTAGTGACCCCTAGTGACTACCAGGAGGCAAATTCTGGCTTTGATTCCATTTCTATGCTGCAGATTGCTTAAAGATACAATATATGTATGCGAAAATCCTCAAACAAACGCAAGAGATAAATGGACAGGAAATACATAGAGGATAAGGATTGTAAGGCAGAGAGGATACGGGTGGAGGGACACCCTGGGGCTTCTGACTATTACTGGTCAGGTTCTAATTAATCTTAAGCTGAACAATGAGCACACAGAAGACTCATTTTATCATTAGTCTTTACAATTGTACATATATTTAAAATATGCATCCAATTAAGTATATGCACATTAAGCATACAAATCTATGTACATTAAATATATTGTTCTATGTAAAATATTTAATAATTTGAAAACTCCTCTTTCCTTGATGCAGATGGCCCTGAAGAGGAAAAGGAAGTGCCCTTGGTTGTTACTCAGCAGCTAGCAGCTCCTGGGGAATTACCAACAAGCTTTCCTTTCCTCTCTCACATGCGCATGAAGACTGACAGCTTCTGAGATACTACACACAGCCCAACACTGCCACAGCCACATGCAAAGAACGACACATGCTCATGCAGTTACACTCTCCAAGGTGCAAGGACACGCAACACCTGTGAGGCACAATGCAGCACAGGGACATCATGGCTCCTCTCCGAAATGACACAGCTTCACAAAGAAGCGGCCTCGAGAGCACATACCCAAAGTCCCAGGCACTCAGCTTGACAGAATGGAGTGTGCCCAAGGATACACAAGGACTGTGCTTTCCAAAAGGAAAACAAAATCACAGACACATATGAACACACGCCAAGACACGCCCAGGGGCCACACCATCACACATAAGGATTCATGAACACACATGGTGTCACTGAGAAAGCAATGGAACCTGCCCAAAAAAGCCGCACATAAAAAGCATCTTCAGTACCACACACCCTACACACGGGGACAAACGTCACTTTTGTAGGACACTCATGAACAAGCACATAACACCCTTGCACTGCTGTCATCACATCAAACGCATACACAGGGCTGTGCGCACCCTTCCTGAAAGCACCCTAGAGCTATGGACAGCGCCACAGGTCTCAGGCCAGGCCCAGATGTGTCGCCCTGACAACCTCACGTAGACCAACGCCTGCAGTCGTGCCACCCTTGCCAGTGTCCCCGCACACCCCTGGGGTGGCTCCTGTGAGGATGCGGCCCGACCCTTGACCTCAGCATCCCCTGCCCCACCCCCACCCGCGCCAGACTGGAATCGCACCTTTATGGGCCTCGCACAGAGTGCAGGGGGCAGCTGAAGGAGGCCCAACAGCAGCAGCACCAGAAGGCCAACGCCCCCGGCCCGCGACCCGCGGAGCAGCAGCGACCCCGCCATGCTGCTCCTGCGAGCCGGGCTCCGGACAGGCGGGCAAACTGGTCGTCTGTCAGGTGCGCAGCGCCTGGGTAGCGCACGGCTGCGATGCTCTGCGGCTGCGTGCTGGGAGCCAGCCGCCTAGTTCTCCTCTCCCACTCCACGCAGGCGCAGCATCAGCTCTGGCAGCCTCTGCAGCCTGCGTGTTGCTGGGGTGATGCTCCAAGGACAAAGTGGAGAGTCTGAGACTGCAGCTGATGGTTGCCATGGCAGTCGGAGAGCAGTTGCTAGGGCAACAGACCTTAATGTGGATTAGCAGACAGCCAGGGAAATCAACTTAGTGAAGTGAAATGGGGTCCAGTCCCTAGCTCTTCCTCCGTGGGGAGGAGATGGACTTTGCTTATTGGATAAACAGCTGCCTGCTGCGGACCCTGCAGGTGCTTTGTAGAGAGACAGGTTCCACCCCTATGATGGGTAGTGCTGAGCCCCTACCTGAAATAGGGAGTTACAGTAACCGCGAAGTCAGAATGGCGATGACTCAGTGAACGCTCAAATACAACTGTCTGCTAGCCAAGGCCTTCTCTCCACGACTGTCCTTTCATGTCCTTTGCAGTCTTCGTCTCCCCATCTGCCTCTCTTTATCTCTCTTCCCTCCATCCTGCCAACATCCTCCCATCTCTATCTTAATTTACTGTCTGCATCTGTTTTTTTCATTATAGATAGATGCATATATATATTATTGTCCATGTATTGTTCTGGAAACACATTTAAATGATAAATCAGGAGCCAGAGCTCCTGCTCAATGGTAGAACCAGCTCAATGGTAGAACACAGTGTTTAACATTTGTGAGGCCCTGGGTTTGATCTCCAGCACCAAACAGAAGGCAAAATAGATACGGGACAAGAAACAAGATTTTAACCAAGCAATGTGCCACATGCCTGTAATTTCCAGTACTTGGGAGGCTGAGGCAAGGGGATCACAAGTTTGAGGCCAGCCTGAGATGCATAGTAAGATTCTGTATTAAAAAACAGAAAACAGGGCTGGGGATTTAGCTCACCAGCTCAAGAGCTTGCTTAGTAAGCTCAAGGTTGTGAGTTCAATCTCCAGTACCATCTTCAGGTATATATATATATATATATATATATATATATATATATATATACATTAAAATGAGGAAGGAATATTAACAGTGGTTATTTCTGGGTAAGAAAACTGTTGTTTACATTTTATTTTCTGAAAAAAGGTTATAATTACTATTATATAATCAGATAAAAGCAATAAACACTTTTTATTTTGTAATTAACACAATGAATGGAAACATGGGTTGGGCATGGTGGTAGGTATCTATAATCCCAGGACTCTTTTTTTTTTTTAGTGCAGGGGATCAAACTCATGACCTCAACTCTCCAGCCAGGTACTTGTGCCACTGAGCTAAATCCATGGCCACATCCTAGCACTCGTGGGAGGCTGAGGCAGGATGATTGCACATTATAGTCCAGCCTGAGCAGTTCAGCCACAGGGCAACAACCTATCTCAAAATAAAAAAGTTTAAAGATCCTGAGTTCATTTCTCAGTACCAAAAAATAAAATTGGTGACATGGCAAAACTTGAAACAGAAGAAAAGATCCACGCAGATGGCCAAGGCCAAGAATATATGTAATCCACAGATCTTAATTGCTTCCATGTGTTCAGTGTCACAAACACATACAGTGAAAATCCTTAATCCACACCATCTTATGAGTCGGACCTGAAGATTATTCTCCCCAATGGCACAATACTCACAAAGTTAAGGCACGTCCCATGCCTCCCCATTTAGGTTCACATCTTTGCATAATTAGCTCATATTGAATGTGTGATTGACCAAAGGGACTGACTGAATCTGAGTATATTAAAAATTAGGTTGAGCTGGGTGTGGTGCACCCCTGTAATCCCAGCACTCCAGAGGCTGAAGTAGGAGGATTGTTGTGCTTTTGAGGCCAACCTGTGCTATAAAAGCTAGTTTAAGGCCAGCCTGAACTATAAAATGCTACTCTGTCTCCAAAAATAAAACTAAGGTTGAGGGCTGGGGATGCAGCTCAAAGGTATCACTTTTGCCTATAGTACAAATAATGTCCCAGTGTCATCCCCAACACCACACACACAAAGAATGGCTCAATCATCTGCTGAGGAGATATTCACTCCCTTGACTCGCGAAATAGGTAAATGCTCTGGGGAAATGTAAGCAGCTAAAACTGGAAGCTGCCACCAGGACCTGAGGGTGGCCTCCAGGTGGCACCCAGCAAGAAATTGAAGCCCACAGTTCTACAACCACAAGGAAGAGAATCATACCAAAAGCCTGAGTGAGGCCAGTCAAGTCTAAAATGATACTGTAGTCCTAGTGGGTGAGACACTAAGGGATGACCCAACTAAGCCAGGCCTTCCTCCTGCCTGGGAAAACTGGGGCATAATGTTTGTTGCAGGAATGTTGTTGTAAGCTTTGTAGTCTGTGATAATAATGCCACAGAGCAATAGAAAAGGCCAGGCATGGAGGTCATGTCTGTAATCCCAGCATTTGGCTGAGGCCAGAGGGTCTCATGCTCTGTTTTATTTTGTTTTGTTGTTTAATGCAGCATTTCTTGGTTTTATTCAAAACAGAGCATAGTTTTAGCACTTTACAGTAAGAATTTTTTTTACTCATCCAAACCCTGTGCCAAGTAGGAATTTTTTTTTACTGGGGATCAAACTCATGACCATGAGCTTGCAAGGCAGGTACTTATGCCACTGAGCTAAATCCCCAGTTACAGTAGGATTTTACACTTGTCATTTACCTAAATGTTCTGCTTCAAGTCTTTAAAAAAATTCTAAGAATTCAGCCTATGTTGTTTTGTTTTCAGTCAGGTTTTATTGATACATTTTAGGCATAGCTGCCTTCCAAGTAGCTGGGACTGCAGGTGTACATCACTGTGCCTGGCCATCTTATGAATAATTAAAATCTCTCCAAATTAATATCTAATCTAACTTTTGTTTGCATAAAGTCTCTATGCAGCTCAAATTGGCCTTGAACTCACTATGTAGCCTAGGCTGGTCTTGAACTCACAGCAATCTTCTTGCCTCAACCTGAGATCATAGACATGTACCACCACATCTGACCTATACCTTATTTTCTTTTTTCTTTTTTTTTTTTTTTTTTTTTTGTCTTTTTCGTTTTTTTTATCGGTACCGGGGATCAAACTCACAACTGCCTGCTTGCAAGGCAGGCGCTTATGCCACTGAGCTAAATCCCCAGCCCTATTTTCTTTATCCATTGGTCTGTTAACAGGCATCTTAGCTGTTTCTATAGTTTAGCTATTGGGTTTTTTGTTTCTTTGCTCTTTTTTTTGAGACAGGGTCTCACTAAATAGTTCAAGTTGGGTTTGAATTCAATATGTAACCCAGGCTGGCCTTGAACTCAAGGCAATCCTCCTGCCTCTGCTTCCCTAGTGCTGAGGTTACAGACTTATGCCACCATGCTTGGCTGGGTTTTTTATTTTATTTTAAAGGGGAAAAAGTAAAAATTTCAAAACAAGATAATAGGAGCATAACAATGGTTAATACATTGCATGTTGTTATTTTTAAATTAGTTACTCAGAGTATAAGATATAGGTCTTTAATTGTACAAACAATATTAGCACACTTTTATTTTCAGTGAACTAAGGGAAATTAGTAGTAGTAGCATAACAATCTTAACTATCTTGTATCTTTTCCCTTCCTTCTTGTCTCCTTTTCCCTATCCCAATTTCTCTTTCCATTTGAATACTTTCTTCCCATGTTACTTGGTTTTGTTTTTTTAAAATAGGGTCTCAGTAAGAAACTGCCCAAAGAGGAAAAGTAATTGGAATAGGGGAAAGGAAGATACACACACACACACATAAGATAACTGTTATGGATTAAGAACTAGTGGTCAATTTAGTGCCCGCTGGATTACATCAGCATGGCACTAATCGAAGGTGCTCCACTAGAGGAAAGTTGCCAGGATAAATAGGTGGAGAAGAAGGGAGCTGTTGGAGGGCTGAGGCATTAAGGAGACATTGTGGTTCTCCTACAAGTTGCTGTCTGAGCTGTTGGTTCTCCTGGAGAAGCTTTGTTCCTCACACCGAGCATTTCTTCCTGGCTCTGGAGGGGAAGACGTGTGCCACTTGATCTCCAGGGTGAACTTGTCACGCTGTTTCCTGGCAGGTACCCGACTGTGCTTGTCGTCAGAGGAGCTTGGGGCCTCCGTGTCGCTGAGGATGGCTGTGGTGCTTTTCAGGACAGCTCTGGTCTTTGTTGTGTGACTTCTCGGCTCCAGCGTAGAACCCTCATCCCACTAGCACAGCTCCTTCACGCTGCTGGCATAGACTTTCTGGCTTCCACCGCTGACCCTTGGGTCTTCCCGGCACGGATCCATAAAAGAGTCCTTCTTGTGGGCTCCAGACCTCCAGCTGGACTTGTGGGAGGCATTGTCGTGGGCTCTGGCTTTTATCTGGACTCATGTGGGACATTGCTGTGGGATTTAGGCCCTTGACTAAATATTCTATGTTTTTGGTGTTGTGGATAGATTTCCTGCATTTTCTTGTATTAACTCCTGGTGACCATATTATAAAAAAATATTATAAACTCCATGTTCTGATTCTAATTGTTCTCTGCACAACCCCTGATTACAATAGCTAAAATGACTATACTACTAATTGGAATAGCTATTGGAAAAAAACAGTTAATATTTATATGATTAGATCAATTTTACACCTATATCTGTTATTCTAAGCAAGCCTTTTGAAGGTAACCATATGCAGTATTACAACCATTGTCAAATTCCTATCATCTTGTTTTGTCAACCTATACTGTTATTGTATTGGGTTTGTTGTTGTTGCTTGTCTCTTCTGCTTTACGTTTTTCTTTTCTGTGCTTTTTTTTCTCTTAAATAAGAAAAAGAAATTAGAGTTTTTAAAAATTGTTTTTTGTTCCTTGAATTACTGCGTTCTTCTGGGTCCCTCCCATTCCCTTAGTTGATTATATTATCATACCACACCTTAGTGCTTTTCCACACTTCTGGTGGTTCTGAATTGTTCATGTTTACAAACAGGGTGATGTGTGTAATCATCACATTGTTTCATTAATATGATAAGGAAAAAATACATTGTCCCAGAGAAAATGACTTCAGCCAAGC